CATAGATAATAAAGATATGGATAGGACATATTGGTCTTATCAGCGGTCTTCGAGGGGAACAATTGAGGCCAAATAAAGTATACCTATATTGAGTATCGACTATCAATATAAAGGAGCCTCAATTGCCTTCCCCTCCGGGAACGCGGCCTCAAATGTATTTAACATAGGCGTGGCCTATCCATATCTTTATTATCTATGGCAGGAACACACCATAATGTGTATGGATAAGAAAACTTTACAATAAATGTAATATAAAATACAATTTCAATCATAAATCAGTAGTATCTAGGTAGGTATATTATAGTTAATTTTCAGAAAAACAAAGTAAGTTAAGCAAAAAGCAATTTGAAATTTGAGTAATCAATATGAAAACTGAAAAGGATTGATAAGTGATAACATCCATATTTTGTAAACATTGCCCGACCTTCATATTATGGCGACCAGGCGTCATATTTGTATGCATTGTCTATAGAAAGTCGACTGTCTAGTTTATATACATCTGTGGATCCAGATTTTTTAAGATCCACAAAATAATTATTCCGAGAGATTTTTTGCCACAAAATATTTGTCCCGAAAGACCTAGTTAGTTCCGCATGTTCCAAACGTAGAACAAGCATTTTGTGGAACAAAAGTCCATTGGAACAAGTGTTTTCGGAACAATATGCAATGTTTTAAAGTTAAAAATTTATAAAATGTTCAATTTTTAGGCTTAACTGAGGAATAAAAATTTAACACAAGGTTTGTCATAACTAAGGATTTTTTACTCTTTTTATACAATACTTAAATTAATTTTTTTAAATGTAGGACCTTTGACGAAAATAATAACTAAAACTCTTTTGCACCTACCCCCAAACCACCAAAAGTTATGCTGTGCCCCATGCCATTATTTCCAGAATATCTTTTCCAAACATATTTTTTCCAATCACCACTTTATCCACAACACATTTGATCCAATGGTCATTTGTTCATTTGTTGTGGTCGTAGATTACAAAGACTTTGATTTATGATAAAATATAATAACAAATGAATGACAATTGTCGTTAAAAATATTTTGTTTTGTAATATTTTATAATACCTAAGTGTAACACTAATACAACTGTATTAAAGTATAAATAAATTTTTAAAAACATTGTTTTTGTTTTATTATATCCTTTAAACTATATAAACATTTCATATTGTGTTATACATTTACGTTGGTCATTAAATTGAAAAATACATATTATTGCTTAAAATTCAGTAATTTAATTAATTTAAGGAACGTTTCATTTTGGTAGGTACCAAAAAACCTATAATTTATATTTGATTTAATAATACATTAGTATAAAATAATTTTTATGCCATCATATAGTTAAAGGTAATGTTTACATTTTCTTGTCTTAAATCATCATACCGATAAAAATGTGCATTTGCTTAGATAAATAAGTAAGTGGTATATCACAAGTAATATAATATCAGAAAACATTTTTGGGTATTTAAAATCTAAGTCCCGACAATATTATTCTAATAATCTAAATTTTAGATTAACTGACGGGGTGGACTGGCTATTTAGGGTGCAGGTTGCAAAATTAGTTAGGGGCCCAAATATTATATTTTTTTAACTTACTAAAATTAGGAATAAGTTCTACATTACATTTAGAATTACATTTAAGACAAGGACTGACAGTGACAATCGGTGCTTGGATCATAAATTTGAATGGTGGCCTGGGGTGCTACTTGGTTTATAACACCCTGGGCCAGTCTGCCCCGGATTAACTGATGTCCTCATAAATAGTGTAGGTGAGGTAGTGTGCGCTATTGGTTCAATCTATCAATTAATGTTTTTGGCTATTTTATTTTTTAAAGTTTTACTGGAGGAACTATGATGTATTTTATTATTTATATACATGTTTTTTTTTTTAAATGAACATTCATGAGGTTTTTCATTTTGATGTTAGGTACCCTATATTTTTAATAATTAGAAGCAGAATTTGTGTATGAACATTTTTACATATATCAATATTAATTGATTGCGTTTTGTTTATAATCGATTAAAGTTAAGGTGAACAAGACATAAAATAACCGATTCTCTTAACATATTTGGTGCACTGCCTGCTTGAATAACTTAAATTTTAAATACTAACATTTACTATGAGTGTTGAAAAATTTATTTTGTATACAAATTTGGCTGCGCAAAAAAAAAATGAAAATAATGTTTATCATACCTTTCATCAATCATATATTTACTTGTATTATGATAGGTACTAATATATATAACCATAGACTACCTACATGAAACTATTTTCATATAGGTAGTATGTGGTTTTACTTGAGTGCATATAAACATTTAATATCAATTTAACATTTTTTTTTTTTTCACAGGTTTTATTAATTCATTTTATACTTATTTTGTTAAAACTGATAAGTTTAAAGTACAATTGTTGCAACTAAGATGAATAATCCTAAAGTAAATATGAGTATTCAAGCAACTAAGAAGGTGAATGGTTTAGCAGATCCAACTAAACCATTTTCTTCATTTATGAAGTATAATAAAAATGATCTTGATATGACAATGCAATTTATAAAAGCACCTGCCATGACTACTTTCCTCAAAGCTAAGATATTTTCTATGGTTAAAGACAATATGATGGAAACATATAAGAAGTGTCCTTGGGGATGGAATGGGAAAGATAAACGCGCAGAGTTATTCCACAAAGATTCTAGGTAAAAGACATTTTTGTTACAATACAATTCATCATTAAAAAAATTTTTAATTATAAATATTTCATTAAAAAAATTATATTTTATTGTAGGTATATTTTAGTTCGACATTCAAGTAATAACTCAATAGCAGCTTTTGTGCATTTTCGATTTGACATAGAAAATTTGATTGAAGTTTTATATTTATATGAAATTCAAATTGATGAAAATGTACGCGGTAAAGGTCTTGGAAAATATCTTATGAGCCTCTTGGAAACTATGGCATTTCACTACAAGATGAAACGTATTGTTTTAACAGTGCTTAAAAGTGAAGAGAATATAGTAAAATTCTATTTTTCACTTCAATATGAAATTGAATCATATTCTCCAAAAGACGCATTTTATTATATACTCAGTAAAAAAAAAAAAACTCTAGAACTTGTAAAGAACTAATATGTTTGTGATAGGTTGGTTCTGTAATAATAATAATTTTAAAAACTTTTTATACATATATTTTATTTTATACTATATAATATGAATTTAATACTTTGGGTTACATTATTTGTATCGTTATTGCTACAATTTAAAGTTCATCATTTTTTTATGAAATAATATACAATGTGTTTAAAATTATATTTATAGTACTTACATATTTTTAATTAGTACAGATTAATTAAGAAATCACAACATCTTAGGAACTTACATCTATTAACAACCTATAACAAATACTGAAGTGTAAAAATGTGACAAACAGCTGAAAAATTAATAATATACATACATAACTCATGATAAAAATAATTCAAAGATAAATAATTATTCAGTTTTCATACAAATTATCAGTTGAAATCTGAAATAAAAGTTAAAATAACATTATTTAAGAAATTTCAAAAAACTAAATTTACCGAAATAGTGAGAAACATTCATAACATAATATTTAATGGAGAATAAGGAATGAAACTTGAATAATATACTTAAGTATTTTGTTCATTAAAAAAAAAAACTAAGTCTAATTTATGAATGAAATACAAAATTACTCTGCGATTATGAGAGTTCATATTATACCTAGCCTTATCAGAATATGCTACACATCATTTTTTTATTTTTCATAACATTGTATACAATGTTATATTAGGTAATAAATGAATTAATTAATTCTAATAAGGACCTATTTTTTAGATTTAGTCATTAACAATATACAATATAACTATAAAAAAATATAATATATATTAATATTATTAAACTTCTAAAATAAAGTATCGGGAAAAGACTAAATATAAAAAAATATGTCCTTTACATTTTAAGAACGACCATAACCATAACAATGTCAACTTGGATATAATTTGGTTTGGAATACATCGAATATAATTATTTTATGGTATGTATATTGTATATTGTGAAGTGTGATATGCAGCAAACCAATAAATAACTTAACATGTCTTCATTACATATTAAGATAATTTTTAACTAAATTTATAATTTAGTATGTTTGACATTTTCTGTCCAGTAGTTTTGAATTGTCATGGCTTCCAAGCTATTTAGAAATGAATCATTGTCCAAACTATACATTTCATCAGAATTTTCCTGTAATATTAAAAGATTTTCTTAGATTTTACTATAAATAATAATTTCTGCTAATTTAATTCACTATTTAAGTGGTCCTAAATTCTAATCAATTATTTACTATAACTCTAAAAATTGGTTGATCGGTATAATAATGGGGCATAAGCCCGAGAAAAAATTTAATAATTTAAGCTCAATATCGACAATCAAAATTAATTTTTTTTAAATTTAAATAATTGTGTTAACGTAAATAATATATTTTTACTATGTCACAATAAAAAATTTAAATTACAATAAATAACTAATAAGGTAAACTTACTTTGAACATGTCATCTAAATAACCAATAGAGTCTGCATTGCTACAATGATCAAGTGCTTGGGGAGTATTCCATCTACTTTTTTTGTACATTATATATCCTAAAATCACTTTAAAAAATTATAGAAAATTAACACTTGAACACAAATTAGTAATTTATTATAACAATTTCATATATTATAATATTATATAACATTATATTTACAATATAATATAACATCATATCTATAATAGTCAATTCAGTTCTTCGTTTTTGGAAAACGTTAGACTGGCCATGCTTAAATTGAATAGAGTACAAACAAAAATAAAATATAAATGGTGCTTGATAATTGCTAAATTTATATTTTATCTTAATTGTTGATCTGTAATAGTTTTAACTAGAAGCTGATTAAAAATAATAATAAATAAAGTGGTGCTTGGTGTTATTTGAGCAATATAGTAAAAGTTCAGGAAATAATTGTTTTCCCCTTTTAAAGTATTTTACAAAAATCTGTTCTTAATTTTAAGTGGCAACATCAGATTTTAATTTCAAATTTTTCAAATACAGAATAATTTGTTATTATTACGTATAACAAAGCAAAGTAACTGAAACAAATTTAAAACTGGTTTAAAATTTAACAGAAGTATTAAGTATTGAATTATTTATTAGAAAAATAAACTGATCAGCTTAAAAAAAATAGCCTTTTAGTCATAGACCATAGTACAATATATAAATTTAAAGAAAAATGCATGAAAAACAACATAAATTATTATTTATCTTTGACCGAAAATACTAGTGGTTTTTTTTATTGAGTTTAAGTATTTAATATACCAAATTATTACTGATTTTAATAGTTTTTACTTTTTATTAATATAATTTGTAAAATACCAAATGATAGAAGAATCACACAGCCAGCAAGAGATGCTCCCGATATTAAAACAAAATGAGAATTCATATAACTTGATATTTCAGGTAAAGATGTGATATTTGTATATGTGTCATTTGATCTTTCAAGTATATCTGTGAATAAACGTATAAATTAATATTTTTTCATGAAGATTTTTTAAACTATATATAAAAACCTGTTTCATTCTGAAGTTCATATTGTTCTTTTAAAGCAAAACTGTCATTGAGTTCTGTGGAATTTTCTGTTAACAAAACAATTTGTGATTTGTTGTTTACTTGTACATTATTAGCAAGTCCTAAACTAGAAGGGACAGTTTTTAAACTGTGTATCTGCGTACTGCGAGCAAGACGACTTAAGCTGTATGGAGTAAATACATTACTGGACAATACTATTGGTAAAATACCTGAAAATATAATAATATATAAATAGTTTGAAGAAATAATTGTATATTGAACACTTATTTACCTTTTAGGTAACTAGCCAGACACACGAAACAAATTAAGTACATTATGTTGATACTAGGTAATGAAACATTTTAATAAAATTGTTAAGCCGTTCAAATTAACATTTCATTTCAAAGGTTTGCGAATAAAAGAATACAACAATTTAAAAACATTAATTAATAGCTTGTAATAATTTATAATTATTAAGGATTATTGAGAATAAATCATTTTATTGGGTATTAATTGCACTTTCGCAGTTCGCAGTTCGCACTTGTCACTTGCAAAGTTGATTCTTATAGATTGATAACAAAATGTTTGTATATACCACTGTCTTATATATCTTGGTCCGTGGCTTATACATTGGTGGTGGTATAATTTTATTTGTTTGAAAATTTATGGCATAATATATATAACATCTTTGGTTTTTAAATATTCTTTCCATCAGGATTTTCAAGAAGAACAATTCGATACGTAGCGATACGGAATAGTTACATACCACCTCGACCTCGTATCGGTGTCCGAGTCCGATACGGGACTCAGTGTCTAAGACGTTTGTACCCGAAACATTATCTATATGTGTGTTCGTAGCCGATGTTTACGATTATGTACATCGTGATTGTTCCATGCGGTACCACACCACAGACAAAATAAATTATAGCTTGTATAAAATATAATAAATTTGGTTTTGTTATGCATAATATAAACTAATCAGTGGCGGGCGTCGACAGCAAGGCTCGACATTTTCGGCAACTGGCAAGTGTTTCAAGAAAATCGTTGAATTTTGGTAAGTTACATTTTAATAAGTTTTTCGTATATATTTGTGAGTATTGTAAGGCTATTTCAATATGCGTTCTACTCTGTGATTTTCGTTCGGTTGCTAAAATGGTCACTAATATAAATAATATAGTAATACAATTTTTAGATTCTGTCGAGCGGAGCGTTAATTTTACTGTAATGTGTGTTTTAAAATGGTAATTTTTAACAAACTTTTTTCGGCAAACCGGTTTTGTTTTTTATGCCCTAACTCAAAAAAATAATAACCGTAGATACCTTAAATTTGATGATATTTTCAATATAATATATGTTATAAGCTATGTGGAATACCGGGCAATGTGAACATTACCCGGTCAATGTGGTCTTGCCGGGACTATGTAAACCACGATTTTTTTTAACCAACTAATATTATTTTTTAATGTACACATTGCCCGGTATTCCACATTGCGCGTAACATTAACTCTGAGCTATTTTATGCATGAGAAATGATCGATTTTTTTAAGTTATACCTTTTTTACAATTATTGACGATTATAAAACTTGGAAATGTAATACAAAGTTCAGTGTAAATTCATGATTTATATGTGAACATTTATTGAAAATTGAGTACCTATATGGTTCCATATAAAATTTTCTTACTAGTATTATTTAAAAATGTTGACTTTAATAACACAAATATTTTTTATGGCCATCTGAATTTTAAATGTTGACAAATTTGCAGGATATTCACTTGTAGAATGACGAATTTTATACTTTACCTTAGAACGACAATTTTAAGAAAATAAATAACGGGACAGTTGTTACTCCCCCCCTCGCCCCCAAAAAGCCTCTTTATTCACTTACACATACATTCATTATATACAAACACATTTGTACAGTATACAGTGTAAAAGTCCAAATCTGTGTCATATCCCAAACAATTGTTTCTAATTTATTTACCCTTTTTGAGTTAACTATTAGCCCTCGATTCTCGTTCCACGAAAATTGTTATTTACAATAGGTACCTGTTATTAATAACTTAGGCTATACAACTGTTTTAAATTTGTTTCAAACATTGATTTCTTTTAATGAATTCTTATAATAGCTGCATCCGAGTTGGGTCCCAAAATTAAAATTGCTATACTAGTTGGGTCCCGGATTTTTATAGTTACTACACTAGTTGGGTTCTGAATTATCTTAGCTACAACACTAGTTCATGAATATTTTTTGGTAAGTACTACAATATACTAACATTTTCCTTCCCATTTTAACAGACTTAAGACTGTCTAGGATCTATTTAGACCACAGGTATGGTTAAAAATGTTTTTTTTACAGTTATTTTTTTATTTTGTTTGTTTCTTTTTTATTAAAATATAAGTTATTAGAATATATATAGCCATATAGATGTAAGTGAAAAAATATTAAAAATGTTAAAAACCAGGTATAAAAATATATATTATATAATATAAATATAGCCATATAGGTGTAAGTGAAAAAATATTAAAAAGGGAAGGAAAATGTTAGTATAGTGTAGTACTCACCAAAAAATATTCAAGAACTAGCGTTGTAGCTAAAATAATTCAGGCCCCAACTAGTGTAGTACCTATAAAAATCCGGGACCCAACTAGTGTAGTACCTGCGATTAGCCCCTAGTACTCGGGACCCAACTCGGATGCGCCGCTTATAATAAGGAAAACGGCACCATCTTCTTGAAACGGGATTAAAAGCGTCCCGTTCGAAGTTTGTCAGGACATGGTTGTCAAGAAAGGGAAATCTCTTTTTTTAACAGGACATCTAGTCACCCTAGTTTACCTGCTTACTTTTCTAATTTATTTAAGAAATATTAATCTAAGACACCTAAAACATTATATTGTTACTTAAATTATTATTTTCTATACTCGTCACTCGATGAAGTTTAAACAAAATATTTAGACAACTTTTTTCAAATTTATATTTCAATCCGTTCATAAAAATCGAACAGTATTACCTAGAAAATGTGATAATAATTAATTACATGTTGTGTATGAAAAAAAGATATGATTCAGTGAATAAAGAATCCTCTTTTGGAAATTGAGGTGGAATAATTGGAGGCTATTTATAAACATTTAAAATTTTTAGTGTTGATATAATTTAAACCCGGTAAATAAGTTGTAATATGTAACACAATGTCTACATATGTTACTCTGTTTGCAGCTAACAAATAGATAGACACGATTATTTTTAAATGCTTAAAATGTTGACAAAATTCGTCAAAATAACAAAAATATATAAAATGATAAAGTGTATAGCTAAGGCTTGAAACTTTTATTCTAAGTTCTTATGTTCCTCATAAATACTTATTATTAATATCCAAAAATCTAAAATATATATTGTTGCATTGTTTTTTTTTCAAGTTAAAATGGTTGACAAAATTGGACATTTGAATGAAGCGAATAACGATTTTAGTTATTTTTTTGCAATTCAAAATATTAATTCTGAGCTCTTGAAACTTATGGCATATATAATTATATTTTAATAATATTTTAAATAATTTTTATTTTGTATTATATTTTATGCTATATTATACAAAATGGCATTTTCAAAATATTTAGATTGATTTAATGATTTACCTATTGACTTTTTACACCATGAATCTCTGTAATTATTCACACCGTTTTATACGGTAAGTCGGTATTGACTCTAAAGTGGATAACATAAATAATATATAGATAGTATAAATAATATTAAATATAGTTTATTATAATAGTTAATAATATAATAAATGCATTGCTTTTGAAAAAAGCACGTGAAACTTCTTTTGCAGTTGTTGGGTTTATGGGTTTATTTCAAATGAATTATTTGTAAACAATACTCTAATATAAAAATGAAATTTATCATTGCAGTAATCTGCAAGATTTAAACATATTTATAATTTTATTACAAAGTAAAATCAGCGATGCTGTAATATTAAATTTTTTCTTTTAACTCCCTCTCCAAAATACATACCTACTACATCAAATTTATCTCGAAATTGAAGATTTAATCATTTTTTCTATTATAAAAAATATCTTCAGATATAAAAAATACTATCATACATAATTTTGATCAGTACAAAAGTAATGTTATGTACATGTTATGTATCAGCATAATGTCCATAATAAACAGTCAGGTTTTTTATTTTTAGGCCATTGTAGTCATGTAGGTATTAATTATAATTTATTTTTACAAAACAAAATATATTTTATATTCTAAAATAGCTGGTGATATTCTTCGAAATTATATCAGACGTTGATAGGCATTGTATAGCCGTAATTATAACTATATACATGAGTATAAATGTGTAATCAACATAATAGGTATTTTGAAAATGTATAGTTATTATACAATTATATGGTACTAGCTGTACCTCCCGACATTGTCCGTGCTGAAGATACGTTTTTTTTTATAAATTATTTGTAAACAAATGTATACTCCATATTTTTACTAATTATAATTATAGTACCTAATATATTATTACGTACATATTATGTAACCAAATACCAATGATAACTTTTCTAATAAACAAAAAAATTATCATTTTTCGTGAGCTGAAAAAATGCATGTATTGGCTTTGTTTGCTTTACCCACTTATAAGGGTTGAACAAATACTCTGTAAACACCCTTAAAGTTTCAAGGATCCAATGATATAATTTTCATTTGCAAACGTTCCAGTAGTTTTTGAGTCTATAATAGCTACAATTCAATTCTCATATTTGTTTTGCTATATAATATTTTATTCGAGGCCATAAACGCTACAATTTGATGCATGCATTTTCTTCTGCGGCATCATTTGGGGCTTGACAAGAAGGGCATTTGCCCCTTTCTGATTTTAAAAGGGTGTCGGGCTGTTTTCGTTTAACAAGTAGTATATTTTATGACCTCAAAAACATGTCTATTTTTATAAAATGTTGAAAAAATATTTGTTATGTACTAAGAAATTATTGTCACTCAATGATAAATTGGTAATTAGTAATTACTAACTAATAGTTTGTTGGAAATTTGAATATATTTATATTTAGACGCATGTGGGACGCGAATGATGGTTGGTATGTAATATGTATAATGTGTATGGGTGTGATAATTGTGTGTTGTTTGGAGGAAAGAAACATGATGTATTAATTTTTGGTTGCGAGTTAAACGAGCATTTTTTTTAAGGAGCAGGTCAAAACTCTGGTCTCCCTCTATTAAATACTGAAATGACGCCACTGTACGTTTATCTCATTGGCCCGAGTATTCAATGGTAACTATTTATTTATTCTGGGTGATCCATTTAAGTGTCCATACTAATTATTTTGAAAATATTTTTTTTACATATTTGATATCATTTCTAAACCACATTTTGGAAGAAAAAAAACGAGATTTTTACTGTTTATTATCGTTAATTATTTCTAAGTTTTTACTTTTTCGAATGACATCATACTTATTTGATTTCAGATTCCGTAGCAGAATATTATTTTGAGTATTTAAATCTATAAAGATACATTTTTAGACAAGTAGTTCATTAATTATAAGAAGGGCTGAGGTCTTCTAGTATATAGGTACTCAAAAATCTTAAAATATGTTTTCTATGCACATAAAAAACAAATAATATAATACACTTAAAGTATATTTCGACTAATGTAGGTAATATATAAAGTATGGTACCTACCTAAGTTAAAATATTTATGTGAACAAAAATTTGAAAAATCTATTTTAATCAATTGAAATAAACTTGAAAAATTATGTTTGAACTAACAAAGTAATTTCTACGATCATTATTTCTACCACTACTATTATAATTTGTAAAATGTAACCAATGGAAACTAATTTTATACAAAATCGATAGTAAATCTCAAAATCCCTGAGTATTAGCACCTCTTCATTCCTTTTTAGATTGAATGACTACAATCCAGTAAATTTGTTCAAAACAACCATGCATTACAACATTCACCTAGACTAGGCCAAAACACTAGTGATCTGTACTAAGATTCGTGGAGTACTTATCGAGATATTAGCGTAAACAAAAATCGGGCTT